GCGAGCTTAGGAACCAGACTCGAAAATTCACTGATTAACGTTACATTTATAGCCCAAGGAACATCTTTTTTTTCTTCAAATTGTACTTTCTTGAAATTTGTGTTTCCCAGTTTATACGAATAAAAACTACCTCAAGTGAGTAAATGAGGGTTCAATACCATGACTTAGACGGGCACGAAAGTAGCTACTGCACATATACAAGAACGACTGGCGCCGAATGCCGCAAGCAAGGACGCTCACGCTGAGCGACGAAGTGACTTGCGCTGCGTCTAACGCACTCTATATTTTAATCACTCCGTACCTATTCTAACACAGAAGTGAGGGTGTGCGCACTGTATCACAAAGCTAAATACCCACTGAACCCATATCATTGATGATCCAATCCCTACACCAAATGTAACAGGCTACATTCAGATATCGTAATTGTGTCCTATGGACAAGAAAGACCAACAGTCCTGAGACGGACTTAATTATCGCGTTAAGGAGCAGCCTTTCAAGTCAGGACCAGTAGTACGTCAATTTATTATAGTGATGGATTCATTGAACTACCGTGCCGATTGATCCCATGGTTTCGGCCTCACGCGCTGTATTTCCTATAGTACTTCGGGGATCTCGGTGTCTGGTATCCTTTCGGTTAAGTCAACTTCAATACTTTTCAGAGGCAACGGGAATGAAAAAAATTGAATTTTCATAGCTGTACGTCTTAGACAACTCAAAAGTTGGCTTAGATAGCAGTGGCGTGGTTGCGCCTACGGGGATCCAGTTTTGTGCAATGTTCTATCCGTTTCCTTGGCGATATTGATTCCAAACTAATTCTCAAGATAGGCGTTCGTCAGCATAGACGACCACATGAGCCGGGAACCACAGCAGACGCGTCTCCGTCTCCTTGCTGTTCGTGAGGGTTAAGGCAATTTCGTTGAACGCGGCAAAAAATTTTTGAGATTTTTAAGGGTTAGATGCTTCTGTTATTTTGGCCAAAACGTTGGAGGGATCTCCTCTTGCCTCCATGATTATGTGACCGTCAGTTGACGCAATTGTGAAAAATTCGTTGCCTCCATGGGATTCGAACCCACATCAACAGGGAAGGCTTATGTACAGCCAACGCTCTACCAACCCCTCGTAATAATTATTTGACTTTATTTATTGACTGAGGGTCAAGATACATGCCAAATGCAGCTCAGAGTGAGACAGTGTTGACCTTTATTTACGCTGCCCATCCGCCAATCAGCTTTAATCGTCTCTTATAGAAAGCGCGGTCAGAGGTTGCAGTAAACCGCAGACAACATTAATCGAGTTACACTGAAATGGCAATAGTGCATCGGACTATTTGCAAATCATAACAAATAAGGCCGCTGGGAACTTCTTCTGAATGGTAAAATACGACCGACAGCGCTGAAACTCGCCATAGGAAAGCTGTGATAGGACGACTTAAAGCAAACAGTTTTACGCATACAAGGTGATAGGCAGGATGAGGGACGGTTTTTTGTAGCAGACCATCTTTAAAAATTATATTCTATCGGTATCTTAATTAGGCATCAGTAAACATATCATACGATAGATCCATAAATACAATGGGTAACGCAGAAGCAAGTAATAACAAGACAAAAAAGACTAACCGATTTCAATTTCAAAATAATGGCTACTGATTAGTTTTCAGTACAATATCTTTTCAAGAAAAGCTTCTCTTCTTTTACGTTCTGGTGATCAGCATCGTTAACAGTATCGGTTTAACATCGGACATGGCCAAAACGTTTGAAAAAAGTCATGAATCATGCAGGAAAGCAATGATAAAGTCAGCGACGCAAGGGAACCAGCTGCGTCACCCATATGGTTATAAGAAACAGGTAAACACTTCCTGACTGCACCTTCAGAACGTCGGTGGAAAGAAATAGCATTCTGATTCACGAACCATGTGCGTGCTCAAAAGAATAAAAAAGGAGAAGGGATGAAAGCTCACCCTTATCACTCGTAGACTGAAAACTGAGGGGATGATTTGAGGGCAGTGCGGCTTTACAAACTGCTGCAACAAAACTGCTACGTGCATCTTCGAGGCCGCATTTGCTGCTCAAAACAATCATCACGGTATCGGCCTGGAGAAAAGAAGCATTAAGCTTCTCATCACAACTAAAAAAGTGAAGAAAAAAAGAGGCACGAAAATGTACGATCTGAAGGTAGTTTTGCGAACAGGATAGACATTAGTTAACGTGAGTGCGCGGGCATACGGCATTAATTTTTAACAAAGGCTCCCAGAAAATCAGTAA